AAACCTTTCCTCCCTTCATTTTGGGTGTCAGGTATTTGTCCCAACAACGAGAGAAGAGTAACTGAGACAGATATCCATTCTCACCTCCCAGCCCAAACTACTTTCACCAGGAAGCATTTGGTCCCCTTAACAACTCATCTGGGGCTGGTGAGATGGCTCAGTGGTGTAAAGCACCTACTTAGAACAAGCTTAGCAAAGCACAGGGACTGCGGTTCAATCCCCAGCACCACATGCCAGCCAGCCCCGCCCCCTGGTGGGCTGAGCTGGCCACACACACACACACACACACACACATACACACACACACACACACACACATAAAAAAAAAAAAAAAATTAAAAAAAAAAAAAAAAAACTCATCTGTCACTAGAAAATAAAGTAGTTGCCAGCTAGGACTGGCGGGAGAGCCTGGGCAACTGGCTGGTGCTGGCTAAAGGGTATATGATTTGATTATAAGGTGACAAAAATCCAAACTTGGCTGTGTAATAGTGACACTTATCTATGCATATTCTGAAAACTCCTGAATCGAACACTCCTTTTTCTGTCCTGGGAGTAGGACTCAGGCTCCCTTGCATGTATTCTACCACTGAGCTCGACTCATAGCTCTGAAATAAACATTTGTGGGTATTTGTACAGTATGTAAATTGGGTCAAGAAAAGCTGCTATTCTGGACTCATCTCCAGGAAATTTTCCCAGGCTCATGAATAAGAATTACATGTCAAACAGCAGAGAAAATAAAATTATTCACTCACTCACTTACTAGTAATTTATTCATCAGTAAACATCTATAATCACCACAAAAGACCGGGTACAGCACTAGTCAGTGACAGCTTAAAGCTGGACTTGGAGTATTCAAGTGCTGCACCTCTGGGTCCTTAGCTTCCCCAAGTCGTGCTAACCTTACCACTTTTCCATTTCTTGTTTCTTCCTAGGGTTTAAGGAACAGGATTTCCTGATTCCTTTTTTTTTTTTTTTTTTTTAACTTTGTGCAGTTAAAAATCTATAGGCCACAGCCCTGGGTCTCCCTTGCCTTCTACCTCTTTAGATTAAATTCTATGGCAAACCTGAAAGGTGTTTTTCTCTGTTATGGAGAGGTCGACTTGGCGTGAAGGAAGTAATAAAGAAATATGCTGTATTATCCAAATCCTTTGTGCGAGACCTTCTGCTCCGCCAAGCCCACTGGATCCCCTCCAGCCCCAGCCCAGGTCCGGCATGTGTGTGGGACCATCCGCACACTCAAGGAAACCTCCTCCATCAAATAGGCCTGGTATGAAACTCTGCGGCTGAAGACCCTGCAGAGAGGCGAGGGGCCAGAACCACCCAGCTAATCTAGGAGCAGAACATCTTGCCAGAGGGGCACAACCGGTTCACTTCCAAGGGCTACAGCAGGAAGGAGCTGAGCACAGCAGCCAGACCCAAGCCAGGCACACCTGGACGAGTTCAAACTTGGTAGATCTGGACCCAGTAAACTGAGACACTCTGCTAGACCCAGATCTATGAGAGTATCCTCTCTCTTTCTCTCTTGATCTACAGAGGGGGCAACAGGTAACCAGGTGAACTAGTCTGCCTGGAAGACCCCCGGTACATAAAGGGGAGGTGATCAGACAGGACTTAAGGGAACTAACTGAAATACAAATTCCCAATTTAATATCTGTTCAGCTACACAGACGTAATATTTGCTCTTACTGTCTAAAATACAAACAGATGGCTCAGTGGAATAAGCGCTTCCCTGGCAAGCGCAAGGACCTGAGTTCAATCCCCGGTTCCACCAAAAAAAAAATAAAATAAAATACAAACCCATTAGTTCTAAAAGTTTGTCAACTGCTAAATATCACTACCCATTATTAGTGTTCCTAATTGTAGTTCTGTAAATACAAAACTATAACTGCCTTAACCTGATCCTCTGTAAGGACATCAGAGCACAGGCTTTTTCTAAGCATCATTTCCAAGTCATGTAATACATGAGGACGCAGGTGCCAGGCAGGGACACGTAAGGACATAATGTCATATTCTAGAGCTCATGTCCCCTCCATGTGAGAGCTCACAGCATGATGACAGCAAGAGGAAGTGTCAAAGACATTTTCACTTCCATTACTCGCATGATCTCCCAAACACCTGTGGACTTTCTCTTCCACAGAAGGAGGAGGTAGAGCGAGGCAGGCAACCTCCAGAGCAAGCCGGTGACGTAAGCGAGGCATAAACTAAGTCTTCTGCCATTGGCTGCCATTCTCTGCCCTCTAGTGCCTTGAAATACCACTTCATTCTAGGGCCAAGAAGCCTCTGATCTCCTAAAAATGATAAGGTTTTGCTTTAGAGGCAGTCTAGTCAAATTCCAACAGAAGCAGCACAATAGTGCTAGAAACCAGAGTCAGACAAATTGAGGTTTGCATCTAGAGCTGCCTTTTCTTTCAGTGTCAGAGATCAAACTCAGGCCCTTGTACATGCGGCATCAGCACCTTATCACCAAGCTGTGAATCTGCTTTTCCTGCATACACAGTCAAACCTCTGTGTCTGCGCACTCCACTAACTGCGGTTGCAAAACATTGACGCAAAACATGTTTCTAAGAGCCGGCCAGATAGTTCAGTGGGCTAAAGCACCTGGTTAGGCAGAGTGCAGTAGCTAGGGTTTGATTTCGGACAAGTGTGCTGGCCCCACTCCCAGGGCGCACTGAGACAGAGATTGAGACTGGGCATAGTGGCTCACGCCTGTAATCCCAGTGCTTGGGAGGCTGAAAACAGAAGAATCACTATGAGTCAGATCTACGTAGTGAGACCCAGTAGACTCTATAGATCCTGTACTAAATACATTAAAAAAAATTTTTAAAGTTTCTACACTGAACATGTAGACTATTTTCTTTTTGTTACTGTATTCCTTAAGTAATGCAGTAGTATTGAGATAGCATTTGTGTTCTACTAGGTATTATAAGCAACCTAGAGATGATTTAGCATATAGAGGACTGCACGCTGGCTATATGCAAATATTAAATCATCATCCTATATGAGGGGCTTAGCATTCACAAGAAATCTCAAAACCAACCCACAGTGGATATTGCAGGATGACTATATACACATTCTTCTCTCCTTCTTTTGAACAAAGAAATCCTTTATTTTCCAAAACGAAAACTTTCTAAATGCAAATATTCTTCTAACTCAACAAGCCATCACTAAATTTTTTTTTTTTAAACCTGCTTTAAACTGCACCTAGGAGGTGAAAAATTCTTCCTGATTTTAAGAGTGCGGTGCCCACTACAACAGAAATGAAGTTTCTACTACCACTCTTAAATAATTCTCAAAAAAGCATTTAAAAAAAATTCTCAATACCAAGAGCCTTAAATCTAATCAGATTCACCCCAACCCAACCCTACCCAGAAACTGGAGACTCTTTTCTTCACATTTTCCCCTTAGTATACATAATACATAGCAGAATCTCAAGGCCAAAACAAGATTTCTTTGTGTTTCTCATTTTTGAGGAAAAGCTGTGTGTGTGTGTGTGTGTGTGTGTGTGTGTGTGTGTGTGTGTGATTGAACCCAGGGCCTCAAACTTGCCAAGCAAGCACTCTGCCACTGATCTACATCCCTGGTCCTTTTGAGAGTTTATTTTATGATGGGGTGTTGCTAAATTAATCAGGCTGACTTTCCACTTTCAATCTTCCTGCCTCAGCCTGCAGAATAGGTGGGATTACAGGTGTATGCCACCACACCCACTAGCCAAGATCAGTTCCCACTAAACTTGGCCTTTCCTTCTACTTTACAAGGAAGGCAGTAGGTTGAAGAGCCAGAACTGAAAGAATTATTATCCCCAAGTCGACAAACGTCCCAGAACAAAACTCTACATCTGCATGGGACAGGACAACCATGTCCCATGATTACACACAGAGTAGAGAGCTCCCAGAAGGCTCAGCAGGCTCATTCTGCAGCATGAGCCCTGCTCCTCCGCGGACCCTCGAAGCACATGGGCAGCTATCCTCTGGCCCTTACCCATGTTGCTCCCCTTAGCCCATCCCATGTACCTGACACCATCCCATTCCTGCTTTCTTCTATCTGCATTTGACTTTTTCTACTTCTGGAGGATTCTCTCCCCAGACACAACATTTGCTGGTACCAGACCAAGCCTACATACAGGAGCATGCAATACACACTGGTTGAGTTGAAATAAATGAAATTGAACAGATGGGGTGAAGTGGTCCATGGCTCAGCTACTGACACAAAAGCATAGATCTGGTAGGGTCACAGCCATGGGAAATGGGTAAATGGGCAGGGTATATGGTATCCATAAGCCAGTGACCCCCCCCCACACACACACACACACAGGGAGGCAGGCACTCGCTCCCAACTCCAGGGCGCAGCACCCCCACAAGCTCACTGGCTTTTATAGCAATGCTCCACTGTGGAAAGTGAACCCCCACTGCCACCCAGATGGCATATTTACCTAGCAAATCAGTAGCTGGCACAACGCCCTGCGCTATGGAAATGCGTCTTTGATGTGCTAGGGAACCAGACTCAGTGTGAACACTCCATCTCCGCACGTGGGCCAGTCGAGGGCAGCCCAGTGTGGCCGAACAATAAAAACTGAAATGGAGTTCAGAATGGAACCAAGAGGAGGCCCCGCTTCTCTAGTTCCATCTGCACAGCAGGAATCAGGAGCACCTACCTCGGAGTTCCTGTGTGGGTGAGGTTTGGAGCTACGTGGGAACCTGCTCGGCGAAGTGGCCCACACAAAACAAGGGCTCAGTAAACAGTAGCTGCTGTTGTTATTACTCATTTTGCTGTGAGAAATTAAAGGAGATGGAATGCACCGTGAAGCCCCAGGCTAGAGTGTCACGGAATATGAAGTCCCTAACCCTGGGCTGGGGTAAATCCATTAGCCCTGGTGCCCTGCACTGAGCCAGGCACCTGCTTGTGCACGGAAGTTTCGGCCACCACCGGGATGCGCAGGGCTCTGGATGGCTCTGGGAGGGGCGAAGGGCAGGGGAGAAGGCAAGGCGGCCGGCCGGACGTACCTGCTTTCACTGCACTCTTTCCGCTCCCTCACCCTCAGCCACTTGCGGAGGAGGAAGCGCTTGCGGCGAGGGGAAGCGCTGGGCGTGGAGCAGTTGGACCACGGGGTGTCCTCGTCGCTGGAGGGCGTAATCTCGATGGACGGCAGCTGCAGGAACTCCTTGCTAGGGGCCAAGACTCCGGGCAGGTCCTGGGCCAGGCCGGCCTCCAGACTCTGCTCCTGCACGTTCTTCATGCGGCGCATCTTGAAGCGCCGGCGGCGGAGCGTGGGGGTCGACGAGCTGGACCACACCGGGCCCTCGGGCGCGCCCTGCGGCTCGGGCACCTGCAGGGCCGGCGGCTGCAGGTTCTCCATCATGTTGGCCGCCGGCATCGGGCTCGGTGGCCGCCTCGCTCGCGCGTCCTGCTCGCTGCTCCCACCCCGGCCCCGCGCCTCACGCTCCGTCCCTTTTCACGTTAAGAAGCTTGAGTGGCCAGAGGAGAGTTCTTTCCCGGCGCGCCGCTCGCGAGGAGGGGACGCGAGGGGACGCGAGGGCACGCGGCGCGCGGCCGCCCGGAGTCTAACTTTTCGGAGCGCGCGTCCTCCGGCGGAGCGTGCGCCGCGGGCAAGGCGACCCGGGGCGCGGCAGGGCCGCCCGCCACCCCGGCCGCCTCTTGGGGCTCCCTGCGCGCACTTGTTTGTCTTCCGCTGCGCTCCCTCGCTCAGCTCGCTGGCGTCTCTGCCTTAGCGGAACTCGGCAGCCCGGGGCCCCAGGGGGCGGCTCGGCAAACTCTCAGCGGTTTGCGATCGGCAGACCCGGTTGGGGAGCTGGCTTGGCGCTGCAGGGAGTAAGAGAGCAAGAGGTAGAGGCAGTGGTAGGAGCGAGAAGGAAAGAGAGCGAGAAACGAAGCGAGACACCGGATAAAAACAGATGAGGAGGGGGTTAGGGAAGGGGCGGTTGACTATCCTGGAAGGACTGGCATGGGCGGTATGGGCGGCGACGGCCCTGTAACTGTACACGGAATCCCTTGGGGAGGGACTCAGACTCCGAGTTAGGGCTGCTCCAATCAGCCTAATGAAACAGGAGCACAAACCAAACTTTCTCAGAGCAGTGATTGGCCGGCCCGCTCTCATTAGCGAGCTGCTTGCTTTTTTTTTTTTTTTTTTTTTTTTTTCCACCCTGGAGGAGGGGAATCAATGAATTCAGTTCTCACTCTCTTGGGCCATCCAAGATACCGACTGGGTCGAGGGAAAGCTAGAGGGCTTTTAAGCGGAATCTCTTCTCCTAAGAAAGGTGCTTTCTTTTGAGTTATTGGGAACCAGACGTGGGCACAGGAAGACTGGACACAGTCTGTAGGAGAAAGCAAGGTTCCCTAAGGCTGCTTCCAAAATGACACGGTAAGAAGCAAGGACAGTTCGGTGTCATGAGCAGAGGACGCCAGAGACGACACACCAAGGAAAGACAGATGACAGCACCAAGGGACTTAGGACACACAGCACCAGGCAGGAACAGAGATGGAACCCTGTACATCGTGAGTGACCCTGCCAGTACCACAGCCCTCCTCGGTAAAGAATAACATGAAAGTACTGTGAACAGCAAGGCCGCACAGCAAGGAGAACCCCAGGAAGGCAAATGCAACCCCTTTACATTCTGGGGGCTGCCTCCATTCTCCCTCCGCCTGTGAGGGGCATGCACTAGGTCACAAAGTCAAGGATGAACCCAGGTCACAGAGTCTAGAAAGTGGGGCAGTCCAGGTCGTGCCCCAAGATGTGCTGAGTCACTTCCTCCTAGTCCTAGGTATCACCTGAAGGTATGGGACCTTACAGGGTGGAGCCGGCTGTTGGCTGGGTCCAAGCCAGCCAGATTTAAGAGCAGAAGCTACAGCACACTTTCCCCCTACCCCAGCAGGGCATTTGTCTCTTCTCTACGAACAAGTCATGAGGCACTCCGAAGGCTATGCCATGGTGCCCACAACCTAACCCACCCTCTTCTCTGCCCTCTTTCTGAGTCCAGTTTCTTCCATCTGGAAGGTGACACCCACCTTCCGTGCCAGGATTAGGGTCACATTTCACAAGTGTCCTACAGCGGAGGGGAAAACACCCCTAAAGTCCACAAGAATTCACTGCAGGTAGCAAGATATCATGGGTGACAGCTGACCACAACCCGACCATACTCTGCAATGACATAGGCAGGGAATTCAAGATGTCTTGGCATTATATGACCTCAGAGAGGCTGTGAATTAAGGAAGTATGTTTTGCTCAAGAAAAGAGATTGTGGCAGCAAAGCTAAGGCTGGGTTCACCCTTAAATGACCCCCCCACCCCGTTCCTGTTTCCGGCTCTTCACATCCGCCACTGACTCTTCAGGATGATCAGGTGTCACTCTATTTTAACTCCTAGTTGTAGCATGAAAAGAGAAAAGTCCTTTCTGTCAGGTGTCAGCCCTGGCAGGGAGCAGGAGAACTCTTCTCCGGACTTCAGGGCCTGGAACTGAGTCAACGTTCTACAGTTTGTTCCTAGCCTTGATTTTTTCCAAGGAGACACATTTTTCATGTGATCAGACAACTTCTCAGTTCAAGGAAGCTGCCTGCCACAGAGGCCGCTGAAGTAGGAGACCAGAATCTTAGGCGTTTACAGGAAAACGAGAAGGATATCTACTTGGAGCCCAAAAAATTATAAAGGAAGAGTCACACAACAGAAGCTAGAGGACTATAGTTTTTTGTGTTTTGTTTTTTGTTTAAGAAGGAAGATGAATAAAGGGTGCATCAAACAAAGGCTGCATCCCTGTTATGGCTTGTGTCTAGTTGTCCCCCCAAAGCCTCATTTAGTCATGGGGTGGAAACTTCTTGAGTTTGAGATTAACTCATGACCACTGGGATTATGGGTTTTAGTACTGCTGGGATTATGGGTGTGAGTACCACACCCATCCTGGGGCAGAGAGCCTGAATGTGACTTAAGACAGACAGACTTCCTTGTTGCCACTGACCTTTCGCTTTCTGCTCTTTGTAGCACCATGGAAGTTTGTCTTCTGCCATGTGCCACTCTGCCTTGTAGCCAGCTGAGTATGGACTGAAACCTCCAGAAACTGGGAGCTAAATAAACCTTTTCTTTATTTTGGATGTCAAGTATTTGTCCCAGCAATGAGAGAAGAGTAACTGAGACAACACTTTTAACCTTTGTTGTGGACACTCTGAATTTAAGTGTACACTGTTCCAAAGGAAAAACTCCAGCAGCTCCTGCTTCCCACACAGGTTGACCAGTTATCCCACTCTCGATAGCTTCTAGACCTAAAATTCTATAAGATTTAAGTTAAGCCTTGGACACTGCAGTGGTAGAGAACGACTATTTACTTTTCACACGGCCTGTGGACAGTCCTCCAAACCAAACATGAGAAGGTCTCACTTGATCCAGGAGCAGCTCTCCAGCACACTGCTTCCCACTAACGCTGTCCTGTCCTTGTTCACTTTCATCCGCAGTCCCTTCTTGCCTTCAACCCAAACCTTTTGGTTCATTAACACCCTAGTCAAACAGGTCCCCTACCCCTCCAGCCACTGCTGTGGCCTATCACAATGATGTGGCACCGCTTAGAAATATAGGACGTCCTATGACTCCAAGCCACCATCTTTTCAGCTCTTTGAGGAAAAGCCCAGTTTCTCCTTCCTTTCAATATCTTTAGCATCCTTGTACTTTTTATTGGTATGTGAACTTTGTTCCTCTTCTAAAGGCTTTCATATATCATGTTGTGTCTTTCTAGCAACCCTGGGAATGAGTTAGGTCAGAAGTTATTACTCTCATCTTACCATGATGAAAGCAAGACAGAAAAACACAGTAATTTATCCAAGGTCATCAATAAATGACAATGACTCATCAATGACAAGGCCTTCTGAAACCAGTGGCAAGGCCACCAAAGTCACATTAAATGCATCAGCTCTGGAAAGCAGGTCTTGTATACACCAGAATCTTATTAGCCTTGGCTCTGGTTGGGTACATCATGAAATTACATGTAACTCTACCAACAGTTGTTTTATAGGCACAGAAACGGAAGTCTAAAGTTTGGGAAAGTCACTCCCTAAAGCAACTATTACGGAGGTGGCTGGACCAAAGAATTTCCTCGATCCTCTTCCAGAGCCTCAGCCACTGCATTCCCTCCCCAAGTCTCCCCCATGTCCAAACTTGGCTCTCCGAGCAGCACAGTTCCCTGTGAAGCTGACCTCACCATGGGGGGCCTCCTTTCTCTACAGATGGTGGCCAGAAGGATCCAGCCCCCACCCCATCCCACAGCCAGGCCTCTGACTTTAACTGAAAGGAGCTCAGATTACCCAGCAACTGTTGTTTATTCTCGGCAGCACAGGCTCCATTTTCCTACAGACACAAGACACCCAGCACCTGTCTGCTGCTTCTGGAGACCCAAAAATGACATAGTTGTTATCATGCATTTGAAACTTTCACCAGAACGTGTAAGTGAAAAACACCATCTTTGAGGTTAACTTTCTCCGCGGTCCGCGCGTAAGCAAGTGAGCTGCAATGAGCAGCACCCACTGGTCCCATTCCATCTGCTCAGGAGGCCACAGGCAGGCACCTCTGGAGAGCACAGAAGTGTTCCCTTTAACACTAGGACTGTGAGACAGTCTCTCACCCAGAGTGGCCAAGCTCAGGGATGAGCCCAGATTCACAGGAAAGAAGTAGGGCCTGGGAATTTGGGAATGCACTGTGTGGCTTGCTGGGAAGGTGGGAAATTGGAAATATGGGCGATCCTGTGAAAACGAAGCCAGATGTTCCTCTGCTGTCTTTCTGTTGTCCAACTCAGGGAAGTGGGGTGCATGTAGAGCACAGTGTGGGGCATTCAGATTCAGTGGTAAACACAGTAAAGCCTGTTAAGGACAGGAATGCTGACCAGTGTGGCCACAGGATGCTTTTCTCTGTGGATCTCCACACATGACAAGAGCCTAGTTAGAGACAGCAGAAGGAAAGATTATCTCTTAAAGAGGCAGAGGGGCTGGGGAGATGGCTCAGTGGAATAAGCGCTTCCCTGGCAAGTGCAAGGACCTGAGTTCAATCCCCGGTTCTGAAAAAAAAAAAAAAAAAAGAGGCAGACATCATCCTACCACTGTGGTTCTCTAAGGTCTAGATTATTTCTTCAATAAAAGCGACTCACTTAGGCCTCAAACAAAGTTAATCAGATGTGCTCATCGCCAGCTTCAGGAATTTGATCACTGGATGCTGAACACTTCCCTGAGACCCACTCACAGCTCTGTCTTGCATGACAAACTAGAAATACAAGGATCCATTAGTCACCAAATGGTGAGGAGGCTGGGAAATAGGGATGGAGGGTAGGAGGACATGAGAAGAAATAGGACAGCTTACACCCTGTCCCCAGGATCTCCTATTCCTTTCGTAGTTCTCCCTTCATCTTCGCAAAAAGGAGCTATATATTTAAGAAGTGTTAGGGTTGGAGAGATACCTCAGTGGCATAAGTACCTGCCTGGTAAGCACAAGTTCCTGAGTTCGATCCCCAGTACCAATAAATAAATAAAAACAAGAATTGTTGTTGGGTGTAGTGGTATATGCTTGTAATCCTAGCTACTCTGGAGACTGAGGCAGGGGGATCATAACCACAGGCAAATTAACAAGACCCTGTCATAAAATAAAATAAAATTGGGGTCTGGGGAGATAGCTCAGTGGCATAAGTGCCCAAGCACAAGGTCTTGAGTTCAATCCTTAGCACTGACAATAAATAAATTAATATAATTAAAATAGCTGAGGATGTAGCTCAGTGATGTAGCACCCTTGTCTTTAGTCCCCAGTACTGTAAGAAAAAGGAAAGAACCAGTAAAAGGAAATTGCACTGAATTTATGTGGTTAGAAGGTGGGGTAGGAGGCCAATACTGGCCTTAAAGAATTCAAATGAAGCCACAGTTGCCCAGAGAACACATCTACCTTCCTCTTTTTGAAGATAAAGGAGAAAGTGCTTCGAGACCTTGATGGAAACTCAGTTCCCAGGAAGGAGTCTGGGGACTGCTCTCACCTTGGGAGAC